AACAAATGGGTATAAACTGGCCATGAACAAATTTGGGCTGGAAATTAGAAGAAGGTTTCTAACCATCAGAGTAGCGAGGTTCGGGAACAGCCTTCCAGTACAAGTTGTGGGAGCAAACAACTTAATTAGTTTTTAGAGAGAGCGGGACAAATTTCTGAGTCAGATTGTATGATGGGGTTGCTTTTGATGGTGGGGGATGGGCTTGGTAGCCCTGAGGGGGTGGTCCCTTCTAGATTATTTTATGTTTCTAAAAGTTCATGCTTCAGGGCTTCAGACAGCCATCTGCAGGGGTCAAGAAGGGATTCTCCCTCTTCCCTGTCCATGTATTCTGTCTGTTTTTAAAATCTCTTTCCTCTAAAGCATCAGGGATGGCTTTGGCTGGAGATGGGACATAGGATGGGGTGGGCCAGTGCTCTGAGGTGGCACTGAGCATTCTCTCTTTCAGGTGCTTGGCTGGCTGGTTCTTGCTCACATGATCAGGGTCTAGCTGATTGCCATAGGTGGCTGGGAAGGAATTTTCTGCCAGATCAGATTGGCAGTGACTTTGGGGCGTTTTGCCTTGTTTTGCAGTGTGTGGAGGTGCGGGTCACTTGCCTGGATTATCTGGGTATCTCTCACTTAATCATCTCCCTGCCAGAGCAGGGGCCTCAGATACGGTGTGCCTTGTTCCCTCGTTCTCTACCTGTAGCACATAACAGTCTAGTCTCCTGTGGGCTGAGATACTTTTGGTCTCATCTCAGTTGTTGGGTTCAGTGTGTGGGTGGTAGGTGGTGTTGGTGGCTTGTTATATACAGGAGGTCAGTCAAGGTGATCCTTTCTGGCTTTACACTCTGACTGACAAGACAGCTCTGGGTTAATCTGGAGTCCTCCAGGCCTGGATCCCTATCATTCTAGTTTCTGGCCTGGGAATAGTTCACAGAGAGGACTGGGTCAGGGTCAGTGATCTTCTGGCTGTGCAGACACATCACATGTCTGGGCTGCTGCTGTTGGCAGTCTTTCATTGATCATGCTCTGCTACTCAACTGCCCCTGAGGGTCCAGCAAGGGGACGGTTGTACTACGAGGTCTCAGGTGCCATGTTGGGCAATTTCATATCCATCCTCAGAGGCCCTTCTCATGGGGGATCCTTTCTGCTCATCATTTACCTTCAGGGGATTGTGAGCTATTTGGGGCTTCCATGACACTGCTCCATATCTCCTCATCCATTCCAGGCAGTGCCTGCTTCAGAAGGACCTGGCTGGCTCGCCGCCCCCAGAGTGGTTAGAAGGGGAAAGTACTGTGGGGAATTGATGAAGCTTAAGGTTGTTCCACTGCTGCTGGGGTACAGCCATCCCTTGCCAGAGAGATTCACTGTCATAGCCATTGGGCCCTTGGCTACTCATGGGTTCCCAAGGAGCCTCAGTGAAGAGTAACCAAAGGGAACCAATGCAGAGAGAGACTAACTGGAAATCCTGTGTGTTATAGGAATCTGGGAGGTTGCAGGTAACTCTGCAGGGATCAAATGCTCAAACAGAGTTGTGCTTTCCTAGCAGGTTCTCCCTTTAAAGCAGCTGTTGGCTCTGATCCTGAAAGCACTGTCTGGTTTGGGATGTGGCATCCGTAGGGATCACATCAGTTACTGAGATCAGCATCACACTGTTGCTGACAGTCCTAGATCTGCCCTTGGAGCTGGGGGCAGGGAGCTCTGCTGTGCAACTTGGTCACAAGCATCTGAGGTGGCTGACTTGCAGAGCTTGTTGTGAGATGCACTTTCCTGGTCCAGCTCACACTAGCCAATAGGCTTGGGTGAGCCTGTGCAGGAAGAGGAGCTGCTGTGGTGCCTGTTGTGGGTAGTTTAAGGTAGTATTCTGCTGCTTTTACTTTGCAGGGAGAACCCAGAATCAGCAGGTCCCAGGTGCATGAAAGCCAGTCACTCAGGGTCATTCCACATGGGGCTTGGGGACCTGGGGATGTGCAGTAAGACCTGTTCCTTTGTGGGGAGAGAGGTCTGGAGGATCAAGCCCTGCGATCATGCAAGGCATGGAGTGACTGCACTTTCAGAGTGGGAAAGTCTTGGGCATCTGTCTCAGGAAGAGGGAGTGTGAGGATGAGCAGGGGACAATTGGGGGCATCCAGAAGGTGTGCATGGGGGGGAGGAGGGGAACTTCCCCTCCCCTTCCTTGACTCCGTGTGTTGGGCTGGAACAGGAGGGAACCAGTTCAAGCCTGAGGGGAGCACAGTGGCTCAGCATGTGAGTGCTCCAGTGGAAATTAGGCCATGAAGTGCACTTGCCCAGCAAGGTGTCAGTTTCACCAGCCAGTCTGGCCAATGGCTTCTTCCTTTTGCAATGGGCTCCAACTCCCAGGACAAGACAGGGTCAAGGGCAGGCCTGAATTCTTGAGCTCTGGAATTGTGGGGGATGGGTTGTTCAATGTGGCTTTGTTGGGGAGGCCCTAGCCTCATAGATTCCAAGACCAGAAAGGACCATTGTGATCATCTAGTCTGATGTACTGTATAACACAGGCCATAGAACTGCTACCAGATAATTCCTAGAGCAGATCTTCTAGAAAAACATCCAGTCTGGATTTAAAAATTGTTATTCATGGAGAATCCACCACAGCTCTTGGTAAGTTGTTCCAATGGTTAATTACTCTCTTTGTTAAAAATGTACACCTTATTTCCGGTCTGAATTGATATAGCTTCAACTTCCAGCCATTGGATTGTGTTATCTCTGCTATATTGAAGAGCTCACTATTAAATATTTGTTTCCCATGTAGGTATTTATAGACTATAATCAAGTCACTCCTTAACCTTCTTTTTGTTAAGATGAATAGATTGAGCTCCTTGAGTCTGTCATTCAAAGGCATGCTTTTTAATCCTTTAATCATTCTCATGGCTCTTCTCCGAACTCTCCAATTTATCAACATCTCTCTTTGATGTGGACACCAGAACTTGTCACAGGATTCTGGTAGAAGTCACACCAGTGGCAAATACAAAGTAAAATAACCTCAGTACTCCTACTTGAGATTCCCCTGTTTATGCATCCCAGAATCACATTAGCTCTTTTGGCCACAGAGTCTCATTGGGAGCTCATGTTCAGCAGATTATCCACCACCTCCCCCAAATCTTTTTCAGAGTCACTGCTTTGTAAGATGGAGTCCCCATCCTAGAAGTATGTCCTACATTCCTTGTTTCTAGGTGTATACATTTACAGTTTGACATATTAAAACACATGTTGTTTCCTTGCACCCAGATTACCAAGTGATCCAGATCTCGCTTCCTGTTGTGTTCATAATTTACCTCTCCCCCAATTTTTGTGTCATCTGCAAACTTTATCAGTGATGATTTTGGTTTCTTTCAGGTCCTTAATAAAAATGTTAAATAGCGTGGGGTCAAGAACCGATCAGTGCAGGACACCACTAGAAACACACCCCACTTGATGATTCCTTGTTCACTATTACATTTTGACACATATCTGCCAGCTTTTAATCCATTTAATGTGTGCCATGTTAATTTTAATCTTTCTAGTTTTTAATCAAAATGTCATGCTGTAGCAAGTCAAATGCCTTACGGAAATCTAAGTACCAGCAGTATTACGTTTATCTACTAAACTTCTAATCTTACCAGAAAAAAAATTGTTAGTTTGACAGGATCTATTTTCCACAAACCCATGTTGAATGGCATTAATTTTATTATCATCCTTTAATTATTTATTTATTAATTTATTAATCAAGTCCCATAGCAGCCACTCCATCATATCGGCATTAGTGTCAGACTGACAGGCCTGTAGTTAGCTGAATCATCCCATTTACCTTTTTAAAATATTGGCACAACATTAGCTTTCTTCCAGTCTTCTGGAACTTCCCTGGTGTTCCAAGACTTATTGAAAATCAACATTAACAATCCAGTGAGCTCCTCAGTCAGCTCTTTAAAAACTCTTGGATTCAAGTTATCCAGACCTACTGAGTTACAAATGTCTAACTTAAATAGATGCTGTTTAACATCCTCCAGCAAGAAGGTTAAACAGAATGGAAAGAGTGTAATCATATGTCATCTGTTTTTTGCCAAATACAGAACAGAAATATTTATTGAACACTTCTGCCTTTTCTGCATTATTATTGATAATTCCATTTCCATCTAGTTAATGGACCAATACCATTGTTAGAATTCTTTTTGTTCCTATTATGCTTTTAAAACTCCCTCTCATTTTCCTTAACTGTATTGGCCATAGATTTTGCCTTGAGTCTTTGCTTCCCTTATCAAGTTTCTACAATTCCTAGCTTCTGATTTATATTTGTTACTATCAGCTTCCCCTGTCTTTTATTTATTATACATATTTTTTAAAAAAAAATTATAGTTGCTTTCACTTCAAGTTTTGTGGTGTTTCTTTTAAACCAATACTGCCTTCTTCCTTAATTGTTTATATATATATATATTTTAGGAGTCTAATAAAGCTTTCTTAAACAATTCCTAATGATCAATCACATTTTTCTGAATAAATTCTTCCTATCAGCAGATTTGGCTCAAAATTGTTTTCAGCTTTGTCAGCTTGGGCCTTTTTGAAGCACCAGCTATATATAGCACTGATCTGGACCTTATTCTGCCTACATGTTATAAATGTGATCAAGTCCTGATCGCTTGTACCTAAGTTACCATTAATTTTAGTTCAGTGATCAGTTCCTCTCTGTCAAGGTCTGTCATAGCATTCCCCAGTGTTAGCTGCAGTGTTTTTTGAGTTAGAAAATTGTTGTCTATAATATTAGAAATTCCAAGAACGTTTTAGTCCTGACAGCATGAGACCTTCAGCATATGTTACTCAAATTAAAGTCCCTTGTTATGCAGCTTTTTTCCCTTTCTATCCTAGATAAGTGCAGAGGAGCCAGTTTTCATGTGATTAGCAGACACCAACTAATAGCCCGCCTTGTGCTGGATCTGTGTGGTTGGGCTGTTCCCTGTGGTGCTGGTGGGGGGATGTGGAACGGGTCCCTCTTCACTAACCTGTGCCTCTCACTGCTCTCACAGGCCCTGCAATTGGTTTCTCTTCTCTGACGTTCTCAAAAGGCTGAAGCTTTCCTCCCGCATATTCCAGGCTCGCTTCCCACACTTTGAAATTGCTACCCTGCCCAAGGTGGAGTTCCAGCGTCAGGTGTCCTCGAGCCAGCTGCTGGCCCAGGAGGAGGTGCCGGAGAGCCCCGAGCCGCTCCCCCAGGGCCCTGCAGAGACAGTGGAGCTGGTGCGTTACGAGCCAGAGCTACTGCAGCTCCTGGGCTCAGCAGTGGAGTTCCAGGCCTGGAGCAGCTGACGGGGGCTGGAGCTCTCCCCGCATTGGACTGCGTCATGAGGCAATAATATGGACTGATGGGAAGCAGCCTTTTCAATGCCAGCAGCGGGGCCTGGAGTCTTTGGCTGTTTATTCTCTCCTCGCGGCCCCTGAACTCCGACTGGGGAGAGACTCCACTTGTCTCCAAGGACTTCCCAGGGTCCCTTTCTGATGAGCAGCAGCAGATGCAGCTCTCTACAGGTCCCCTTCTAGATCAGCTGGGAAGCTCGGACCTGCCCCACTGGGCTACCTTAGCTGGGCCCTCCTGGCTGTAGGACCATGGGCTCTGAAGTGAGGGGCAGTGGATGCTTCTGCCCTGCCCTTCCCCAGAATCGCGCCTCTCTCTCAATCTGCCCTCCCCCCAATGTCTTCCATAGTATTTATTTAATTAGTATTTAATTTGTAATGTTTCTTTTATTTCTGCTGAGTCTGTATCACTGTGATTATTTGAGCCCTGGGCTGTGGTGAAGAGGGCTTCTTCTGGCCCCTCGCCCAGGATGCGCCTGGAGGACACTGCTCTCCCATGAGCAGCTAGCTGTCTAGTGACCGAACCACTGCGGCCTGGTAGCAAAGGGACCAGCTCTCACAACAGTCCCCAGGTTAAATTCTAGGGCCTGTGGGCAGCCCCCTCCCTCACCACCTTCTGCTGGGGCTGTTCCCTTCCCAAAAGCAAGTCCAGCTGAGAGCTGTTCTCTAGCCCAGGGTTCAGTCTCCCCCAGGTGCTTGCCTGGCTGTCTCATGCATTTCATTTACATCGCTTGTTTCTGGATTCTTCTGGGCTACTTTGAAGGGGCAGCTGCAGCCTGAGAGCCACTCCAAAGCTACAGCCAGGGACTCCAGCTGCCTTCCATCCTCATGGGCTCCTGCTGCTGCCAGAGGGCCATCCTCCTTGACGCAGTGTCTGCATGCAGCCAGGCCCCTTCCTCCATCCCTGCCCGTGCCCCTTTCTTCTGTTCAGAGAAGCAATTCTACTGCAGAGAGCTGGCCTGAGGGGGCAAGTGCCTGCCCTTGGCAGGAGCAGAGAGCAGGGCTGCACCGCTGTGTAGATGGTACAGTTTTATTGTACAGGTGCTAACAAGGATGCTGAGGACTGGACAATCTGTTTCCTGGCTCTCCCCTGTCCTGCCCTGCAGTGGGAGTGTTGGGTGGTTTTTTCTTTGTGTTGTGTTTCGTCCCAGCCGGGCAGTTGTAGCCTCCCCTGACCACCACCTGTCTGCCTCCCCCTCCCTGGGATCAGACAGCTCCTTTTTTAAGCTGAGGGTTATTGCCTTTGGGTGTGTATTCTGGCTGCTCTTTCTGATTTCTGTTTTATTATAAACAACCGGCTGTGGTGTCAAAAAACACTTATGTACAGAAAAACCTGCATCAGGCCCTCTGCCTCCTGGCTCTTCTATCGCTGTGTGTGTTGTGTCCCGTTACTGGTGGCGGCAGGGGGGAAGTACTGTTCTTGGGATGAGAACTTCTGTGCTTGCAGGGTGTGGAGAGAGAAATGATCCTGGGCTCGGTGCAGTGCTCAGTGAGCTACTGTTCCCTGCTGTCTGTACTGTGAGATCCACTGCTACAGCCCCTTGTTACAGCTGAGTTAGACCCCAGCCCTGCACCCTTGCTTGCCTGAGGGTAGCATCCTCCTCTAGTGTGCTTATATATATATATATATATATATAAAGCCTTATATCCACCAGGCAGGGGATCAGGTGGGGCAAGTGAAAGTAAAGTGCTACCTCTACCACTCTGCCCCTGTAGCCCAAACTGCTTTAGTGCAGCCTGCTCCAGTGTGCCTTAGCCTTCTGCTCCTTTCCGTGCAAGCAGAGGGGCACCTTCTATGCTTATAGCTGCTGCTACTCATTGCAGCAACTGTGCACAGAGATGACACAAAAAGGCAAGGCTGGGCTCTCGCTCACTCAGCGTTTATAAATCTTCAGCTGTGCTTCAGCCTAGCTCCACGGAGGAGCTGTTACTCCCAAGCCAGAGTAGTACTGGCCTTGGCCTCTCAACGTGTGTAATCACCTCAGCACACGTGTACAGAAGCTGCTGGGCACCTGCTCCCAGGCCAGGGCAGCAGTAGGGAGTAGCATAAGAAGGAACTTCCAATGGGGTTTGAAGGCCCAGGCATAGAGCTCCAGCCCCAGGACCTTGGCCCAGGCATGTCTACTCCCCAGGGCCTAATGAACAGTGGTGGCAGGGGAAAGAACTGAGCCCAGGCTGTGGTAGGGAGCAGGGGCAATGGAATGAAATGGGCAAGATAGGCCTTTTCTCCTGTCTCCGGCCTGTGTATTCATGTGGGAGGGCCCAGTAGGTGGAGCATGCCGATCAGGGAGTTTCACACACGTACCCTTTTCCCAGGTATAGATGATGATAGTGGGGGGAGCCGGGGCATGAATCAGGCCAGGTGCTGTACCACTCCTAGCAGCTCCTTGGGATGCTGTAAGCAGAGGGTCTGGTGCCGGGGCATTGCACATAGTCTCCTAGCTGCACCTTGAAGGAAAGGTCCATAGGGTGCTACAGCCCCACCTCCAGCAAGCTTAGAAAACAACCCTGAGAGTTCCAATGGGGCAGGGGCAGCTGGGGCGGGAGGGATGTTGGGAGGGCAGTCCTTATGAACAGAAGAGGGAAGGGATGTGTGCATACTGCCCATGCCATCCCCTCAAGAGGCCATGGGGAAGCTGGCAGGTGGGGCCTTGGCACCCCATTGCAAGCACCACCCAGAGATCTAGACAGAGAGCAGGCTGGGTGCCAGGGCCCTTCCCAGGGCTTACTGCATTGGACCGAGCTGCTGGGAGCAGAGTACACCAGCACAGCCACTCCCATGGAGGGGACAGGTGTCACTCTGTGGTGTGTGTGTGGGGCCAGTGGATGTACAGTTTGGGGTGTGGGCGGGGGAGAGGCTCTTCCAAAGTCAGTTTGCCATGTTGCATGGCACCAGGGCTGAACAGTGCTGGGCAGGCAGGCCCACCCCTGCCGCATGATCGATAGGACCCGCAGCCCACTTGCTATGGGTAATGGAAGGGTTACATGCCCCCTGGCTGGGAGTGGTGGGGATGCTCAGGGCTGGGGAAGGGCACTAGCAGTTCGGGGGGTGTGTGCTTGTCTCAGGGCAGGGGAATAGGGCATGTGAATGTGAAACACCATGAAGCTAGTGTGAGTGGGAGCCTGAACCTGCTCTTTCCTGGCTCTCTGGGCCCCTTGCAATGCCTTCTGGGGGGCAGAGGAAGTAGGTGTCCAGGCATGGGCTCCTGATTGGCACAGAGGCCAGGCCCCAGCCTGCTGCTCTCGCTCCAAGCAGACATCCAACCAATGCCCCCTTGGTGCAGTTTCAGCCACTCCCATGGCCCAGGTTACAAATGAGGCTACTCTATTCGAGCGGCCTAGTCATGGGTCCCAGTGGACGCCACTAGGCTCCTCAGGGGCTGCTGCTATTCAGCACTGCTCTGTGACCGCTGCGACAAAGGGGCCATAAAGCCAGCATTGCAGGCGAGGTCCCCCAGCTCAGTGTGCTGGGGGTATTGGGGCATAAGAGGTGGCCTGGGGCATCCCTTTTCACTAGCCCCCACCCCGGCAAGGCCCATAGGCCACGGTACCCAGGCCACGAGTTAGGGTAGGAGCCAGGCCGGCCGTAGCCTGTGCTAGGGCCAGAACAGGTCGCAGGAGCTCTGCAATTAGAGCAGTGCAAGCAGCACCTCTGGCTCCCTACAGCAGCACTAGTGCAGGGGCCAGCTGAATTCCCTCCCTCCTGGATAATGGGGAGCAGCTCCCATTCCAGCATCTGTACTCAGGGCCAGGCCCAGCTGCTAGCTCAGCCCCTTGGCTCAAGCCAGAACACTGCATATTGGGGCCTGGCATCTCCACAGATAGCAACTCCTGGGTAAGATGCCTTGCCACAGCCCACCGCCAGTCTGGTGCAAAATGTCTCTTTAATGGGTGAGGGCAAGAAGCAAATGCCATGCGGCCTGCAAGGCTCCCCTGGCCCCAGCAGCCCCCAGCCCTAAGTTGGATCCTGTCAGTCCAGGGAACTGAGCTTTCCCAGTATCCTTTGCCTCTATTGGAGCCCAGGGTGCATCCGCGCACTTCACACCACGTCCCAGCATTCCTCCTTGATGTCACCACTGCCTAGAGACAGCAGCGCTGCAGGGGCTGGGGCAGAGCTGGGCTTTGCCAGGAGCTGAGCCATCTGCTCACCAGGGAACGTTGCCTCCGAGCTGATGGCTAATTCCAGTTCCACCACGGGTGTCAAGCCCACCTTTGGGCAGCTGAGTTGGGTGCAGCTGTCAGTGCCTCCTGCTGGCAGGGCTGCTATTGCTTTGCTATCCTGGGAGCTGCTTAGAGCTGGTGGCTGGAGTTCCTGGACCTTTGCACGGCCAGGCAGGCTCTCCTGCTGCGACGCCTGTGTTGTCAGCACGCCAGCGAGCGTGGCAGGATCACTGGAAAGCAGGCTCGGGAGCGGGCGATCCAGCATAGCCAGGCAGCTGCCACTGGCCTCCATTGTCCCAATGATGGTGGCAACAACAGTGCCTGGCTGGCCAGTCAGAGCCATTGGCTGGAGCAGGCTAGTCAAGGAGTGCTGCGGGGCAGCAGGCAGGAGGGGGCCTGCTGCTGAGATACTGCTGCCTGGGCCTGGCAGTGGCTTGGGGAACCCATTCATGGGGAACCCAGGCTGGAGCGGGAGCCTGTCCGGAGCAGGGGTGCTGCTTGGAAAAGGAGAACTGGCAGCGTTTCCCAGGGCCAGCACTGTGGTGAGTGGGATGGGCTGCAGAGTCAGGGGTCCCAGCCCCAAGCGACCGGGTAGGAGCGGGGAGCTGGGGAAGGAGAAAGGAAAATGGTCACATGCTGGAGTGAATGTGCAGACTGGGTCCCGCCAACCACTGTAGGTGGGGGATGGGAAACCTGCCCCCCTCCTCCCCAGCCAGGCCTCCACTGCACCCCATGTCGCCCCTCCGCTCACAGCTGGGGCACCAGCCCCAGTGCTTGTGACCCTAAACTGGAGCCTATGTGCCCAAGACCCTGTGGTGCCTGCCTCTACTGGCACTGAAGTGTTGGCATTCTGATTGTCACCCATGCACCATATCTGCCCTGCCCTGCTCTGCCCTGGCTCACTCAGCCTTAGGTCCCCCCAAACTGCCTCTCACTGTATCCCCCCATCGGGCCTCCTACCACCACCAAGCTGCCACTGTGAGGGGCTGCCCTGGGGCAAACACCGACTCCAGGGCCAGGCCAAGCCCTGGCCTGAAGGCTGGTCTGCTCCACTCAAGGCAGTGTCAATGCCAATGGTGGGCAAGGCACTGCATGGCCAGAGGGTCCATGCAGCCCCCCACGCCTGTGGCTGGCACTGCATCCACAAGGGGCTGTGTTGGAGGGAGACGGGCTGAGGCACAGCTGGCATTCCTCAGCCCTGCATGTTGCAGAACCGGCCCTTGCTCCAGGCACTTACCCCATGGCCTGGGAGGGTGGCTTGCTGGCCCCTTGCTGCACCTTGGGGGCAGGACATGGTGCAGCTGCGGACTCCCGAGGCTGGGTCGCTGGTGCAGTCTCCCTCTTGCTGCGAGTGGGGGACATGGCCCTCTGGAGGGGGGAGCTCTGGGAAGAGGGCCTGGTGGCTGAGCAGCTGGCTCTGGGGTTCACATTGCCCACTGCTTCCCCATCATCCTCAATCACCACCAGGTCCTTGGGCATCTCCTTGAACTGATATACCAGCCGCTGCCCTTCCACCTTGGCCAGAATGCCACGCTGGTAATAGTACCTGGGGGAGACACCATCGCAGCATGAGACTGAGAATTACCCATCCCCCAGTGCCACAAACCCCCCCCCCCCCCGCCCTCCTCCAGTGCCAATACCCGCCCCTCACCGCTCCCCTGCATCCCCACCCTGGCCCCTGCACAGACCCCCTTATCCCATCAGTGCTGCACTCTCCCACACGGCTTCCCCCCACACTGTATCCCCCCCACCGCTCCCCTCTTGCCACCAGCCCTGCAACCAACCCCCAGCTGGAGGGCCCTACCGCAGTGCCCGGCCCATGGTTTCGTAGTTCATGCTGGGTTTGTTCTTTTGCTTTCCCCACAGCCTGGACACTGCTTTGGAGTCCACCAGCTTGAAGATGCCCCTGTCTCGCTGGGTCCATTTGATGTACTTTGGGCAGGTGTTCCTGTCCTGGAGCAGCGCCAGCAGGAACTCCCACAGGTAGAGGGCATTACCTGAGGGGGGGGGCACGGCGGGCATGAGGGGCAGACAGTACACAGCCCTGGGAAGGGGCATCCCAGACCCTCCTCTCCTCTGAACTGCCCCCTGTGCTGAGGAGCCCAGCGCAGCCCCTGTTGTTCTAAGGGCAAGGAGTCAGGGCCTTACTGAGTCCCGTGAGCCAGCCCAGTGCCCCATAGACC